TCTGAAAGTTAATAGACCACTTAGAAATAAAACATAGTTTCTAGACTAAAATGAAATCAAGGTGATAGTTAATAGACTAAAAATTAAATTAAGCCAATTTATCTAAAAGAAAATCTAATAATATTAACTAATATCTAATGAACTAACTAACAACAATATTTAACGATTTAAATTTCAAAAAAAAATATATATATAAAATTTATAAAAAATAATAATATTACTTAAATTTTACTTACCACTGCTTGATCTACTAGATTGCAACAAGAAAAATGTGTTAAACTGCTTCGAATGGAAGAATGGAGGAAAGGGGAGCAAGAGCAAACTCGGGACAAAGAGGAAAATGAAAATGAAAGGAGAAAGACCAAAATGAAAGCAGAAGGGCGGAGCGGCAGGGCATAGGGAAGCTTACCGACGAAACCCACATTGCTCCAGTCTAAAGCTGCTCATCTCTACGTTGCATCAGGATTCCCGTTGACTGGACAATCACCGACGAGCATCAAGTTGGAGCTGCACATATTACCGACCTATATCTATTCGGTAAACAAAGTAAAAGCTGCACCGCCAGTGGCCACCAGCCGGATTCGCGGGGAGTTGCCGAAGGGCAAGTTACCGACAAGCACTATGTTGGAAATGTTATCAAAAAGCTGCACCCCTGATGCAGGCAGCCAGCTGGTTGGCGGAGGGGGGGTGCATTGGGAGTGGACATTACCGAGGAGATGGATGTTGGAAACTGATCCTCAATTACCGACAAGACTGTTGTTTCAAATTAATTTACAGGCGTACTTCTTGTCGGTAATATGCCTTTCCTCCTTTCCCACGTCGGCCGGAGTTTTGGTTACAATTACCGACAAGGAACACGTACGTATTCTGTTAAATCACCGACAAGTCTTACGTCTGTACAAGAAATAATATATCTTACTGCCATTTTTACTGTTGCTCAAGGTGCAGACGTATATCTTGTCGGTAAATGGATCCTTCACCGAGAAACCTTCTTACCTCGGTGATATGTGGTCGGTGAAGCTCGGTTTTCTTGTAGTGGTTGAAATGTTTCCGTAGGCTGCTTTGTAGGGTGGTAGTTGAGTAAAAACATTGAATGTAATAGAAATTAAATTAATTGAGATATCTTAAAAACAATATATCTTAGAATTTTTTTTTTTTTTTGATAAAAACAATATATCTTAGATGTAAGCTTATATTTTGTTAATTTTGTGATTTTGCGTGAGTACAAATGACCTTTTCATATTTGGTTTGGCAAGATATCCCTATTACGACTGAAACATCTTTCTTTTGAATAAAATTAAAAAATGTAGTGTTTTATGATATAAATTATAAAATATTAATTATTAAATAAAAAATATTTTCTCAATATTAAGTCCTCTTTTTATCTAACAAGACTAACTATTGAGTAACAAAGTCAAATAATGACAAACAAATAA